GTAGGAATATCATGTGAAATTTCGAAAAACTACACAGTTTAATTTGGTCAAAGATCATTATCCCACTTCAATTTATGATATGAACTTTATTTTCATATATATTTTGACCCCCATCTACCCTTTCAATTAATGTGAAATGAAGTACGTGTGTGCCATAGCCATTAATCATCACGAGATTATGCCGATTTTGTCATATTATATAACTTGTCCTATGTTTTTTTCTTCTTTGCTGCATGCCTCATTAATTGTCTGAAGGCATTCAGAAAGCTCCAGTTATACACTTCTACATAAAAATTCACGGACCAGTATATACTTGATATATAAAAGTAAATAATGTTGACAAATTACAAGAATTTAAAAATTACAATAATGATGATAATAAGGATATATATAAAGAGAGATCTTTTTACTTTGGAGTAAGTCTATTTATACTTATTTTGTTCAATAACTCATGTTCTATATCAAATTTTAACGACCCAATCGTTTAATTTAAAGTTCTTAATACATAGATTAAATCTGTAAATTTTTAGAAAATTTGAAAATTATTTAATACTTCATTTCATTAATTCAAATTGACGGATAATTATAAAATCATTTTATACATCGATTCGAATTAATGAAACGAAATATCAAATGATTTTCAAATTTTCTAAAAATTTGCAGATTTGATTTATACATTAAGAACTTTAAATTGAACGGTTGAATTGTTAAAATTTAATATAGAACATAAGTTATTAAACAGAGTAAGTCTTGATAGACGTACGAGTAAAAAAATCCATCCTCTACATATATATATATATATATATATATATATATATATATATATATTTATAGGGCTTCATTGGTCAAACTCAACACATTTTGTTCATTGACAAGTCTCATTCATTCCGTTTGGCCACCAGCCGTGATATGTACTGAATTAAATCACATATAGGAATTAATTAAACATAGAGTAAATTTTAAATTTGAACATAAGAATGGCTGTAACATTTTTTCAAAATTATGACTCAGAACACAATCAACCAGATGTTACTCATTGATCAGGACATGTATCGGCTATTTGACTACAGCGACACTTTTATAAATTATTTATTAAAATGGACACTTTTGAACATATTTATTGATCGAGAATGGTCAACGTTGATTTTTCATATCATGTTGTGTTATATTTTTTATTTTCTTATTTCCTTTCTCACAAGATGGCTCACACATGTAATGCACCCAGTGAGAACAAAACAAAAATAGAGAAATAAAAAAAAAAAAAGTGATGTAATGCTAATTTGATTTTATTTTTTACACCCTTGATTGGTAAATATATTTAAGAGTCTCTCTTGTTAAATAACTTCTAAAAGTGACCTCTATCAATTAGGTAGGACATATCATCTAAGGGATGTCAGAACTTACCTTTTTAAAACATAAATTCGAAGGTTGACAAATTGTGATCATGACACTAAAATATTTCTACATATTGGAGCATTTTCTCATCTATGCTTTAATCATCAATTATAATAATTAAGGTCTCCTGGTCTAAAGTAAAGCTATAGCTAGAGAGACACAAACACAGAGATTTTCTTAAATGAATTAATGAAGTAGAAAATGCTGATCCAAATAGAAATCAAAAGACAAAGATGACTCGCATGCCTCTTACAAAAGAGCATTTTAAAATTCCCTCCCTCATTTTAAACCCTAAACCTCTCAGCAGTGTTTTTATATAGTCACTTGAATTCACGCGTGTATGTATTGAACAAAAAGCATATATTTTGGTCCCCTCCCCCGCCATCCCTTCTCTCTCTTCTTCAGTCCTTTTTTCTGACTCATATAAACCAAATGACACTAATTAATACCTCAGGCATTGTTGGGAGAATATCATGTGGAGTAGGACCTTAGTCTATTTTAAATAAGGAAAACCATAAATATTGTAAGACTTTGGTCTATAATTTAAACCATCATACACAACATTGAATGAGAATGCATTTAAAGGGAGTCTAAATTCCAAAACATATCTCTACCAACATATATATTGTTATCATACACTTTTTTCCAGGTTTTTCCAGGAACAATTAATGTAATACTTCACATACTTTGACCGAGTGGATGGTAAAAACTCTTTCTATAAAATTATGTGTGCACTCTTGTGTATGTGTAGTTTTTGATATATTACTCATGGAAAATACTTGATTTATGAAGGAAAATAATCTTCATCTTATAAGTTAGTTTTATAAAATTGAATTATATTTAAACTTATATTTTTAAAATGATATTAGAGTCTATTTTAACAATTGTTATTGAGTTTGTACTACTCATTATCAGACCCACTAATGTTTAGTCTTGTAAATTAATGTTCAAGATCTAGTGATCGATAAATATATCAAATCATACAAGCTTCATGTTTGAAATATTCAATATTTAGCATGATATTGAAGTACACTAAAGGGGATTATAGACAACTACAATAGATCAATGATCTTTAGAATAATGTTTTTGATAAGTATTTATAGGAGAAAAAAAATTTATAAACATTCACTTATGCATAAGTTAAAAAAAATATGGAGAAATTAATATATAAAATTTCACAAATTAATTTATGGAGAAAATATTTTTTTTTTAATTTTTTTCTTCCTCTATAAGTGCTTTTGAATAAAATTACTTAAACATCCGCCAAAATATTATTTTTTGTTGCCTCTCATAACAATTCACACGGATAAATGTACAAGGCAATGGAAAAACAAGATAGGTCATAGGAGTGCACTATGTAGGTAAAGATCCATAACGTAAACTAATTTAGTTTGGGCCAAGTCTTTTATCCATTCGGGCCTAAAAGTCTCTTTCTTTGGGTGGCTTTCGACGGATGTTGGGCTTGTAGCTCTAACAAATACCTAACCCCATCCTTTGTTGGTTCATGATATATACACCTCCTTTTTTTTATAAGTACACCTCTTTTTTATTTTTTTATAAAAAAAAATAATTAAAATTTTAAAATATTCTTATTTTTTTATTTTAATTTTTTAATTTTACACGTACAACATTTAATTTAGTACTTTTTTTTACACATCTTCCTTCATTTTTTTCAATTTTCACATGCACCTCCTTACCTTTTCTTCACTTCACCTATTTTAATAGATAATTTTAATTTTTTTGATTTTACATTGCTCTCCCCCATCCTCTTTCAGTTTTCTTGCTCTTATCTCCTCTCTTCCTGCTTTTAGTTTTCACACACATGTAAAATGTATTAACTATTTTTCAATAATATTATAGGTGTGTGTGATTTTCTCGATAATAAATAAAAATTTAAAGGAAGATGAAATGATGTATGTGAAAACTGAAAGAAAAAAAATATGTAAAAAAAATAGCAAATTAAAAGTTAGAGATATAAAATTAGAAGAAAAAAATACAGATATTTTATAATTTTTTTTTTAAAAAAAAAGGAGGTATACTTATAAAAAAAGAAGGTGTATATATCATGAGCCTCCTTTGTTTGGAGTCAACCGAACATTATGAAGTGTTGGGTGAAACCCTGAAAGCCTAATGATATATACACCTCCTTTTTTTTTTTTAATAAGTACACCTCCTTTATTTTTTTTTTAAATTTTAAAATATTTATAATTTTTTTTATTCTAAAAATTTTAATTTTACATTTCTAATATTTAATTTACTATTTTTTTTTCACATATTTCTTTCTATTTTTCAATTTTCACATGTACCATCTTGTCTTTATCTAATTTCTCATATATTTCAGTGGGTAGTTTTAGTTCTCTTATTTTTTTATATATTAATCTATAATTTTCTTGCCGCTTTTCACTTTTTCATATATATCCAAATCAAAAAACTGGTAAGTGACAACATTATAGGTACGTATATTTTTTTTTACAGTTTCTATCAAACTAGACACACATTTTTTCCTCCAACACTTCCTTTTCTTTCAGCCCTCCAAAAACCTTAACATTAAATTTAGTGTTATGAAAAAAACATTTTCACTATTCTAGAGTACTATGTGAATAGTGGAATCAGTGAAAAAATTGAAAGAGGAAGAGAAAAAGAATAATATAAAACTAAAAGAATTAAAATTGTCTATCAAAATAGGTGGGAGTGAAGAAAAGTTAAAAGTGTGCATGTGAAAATAAGGGAAAGATGTATGTAAAAAAAAGTGTTAAATTAAATGTTAGGAGTGTAAAATTAAAAAATTAAAAAAATTAAAAATTAAAGATTTTAAAATTTTAATTAATTTTTTTTAAAAAGGGAGTGTACTTATAAAAAAAAAAAGGAGGTATATATATCATGATCCAACCTGAAAATCCTTCAATTGTACCCTTTAATCAATTTATATAATTAAGGGTATATTTAGATAAGTTTTTCAAAGTACTCATGGAAGAGAAAAAAAAATTAAAATAAGTTTCTCTGTAAACTAAAACTAATGTATACATGAGTTAAAACCAAGATTTTAGATAAATTAATAAAAAAGAAGTTTTATAAATTAGTTTATGTAGGAATTAATATTTAGTTATAAAAATGTTTATTTCTTTATTCTTTCCTACTTTTTTCTCCTTAAAATTCTTACAGAGAAATTAAAAGAAAAAACAAGTCCTAAGGCTTAAAATACTGGCCCAGTTAAATGTAGGCCATTGTTATAACATGAAAGTTTGAACTTGCACGTCACCATTTGTTTACATTTTCCACCCAACTATAAGCAATGCGTACATATAAACAACCCACCAATAACGCTGCATGAATCCTAAGCCATGGGCGCATAGAATTCTCAACAAAATTAACATTAAGAACCCACCACACTTTCAACATTTCCTACCATACATAAGGAAACAATAACAACATATAACACAAACATACCAAGTGTGTTTTAGACAATTCACGCTAATAATCTCCTGGTGTTTAGCGCAACACCCTTTTCACCTATACTTCCTTAAACGTCTATCTGTATGATCATTATCAACATATTTATGTAGGTTCGGCTACCATTGCTATCTATGTCCTATTTTTCTCAATGATATATAAGTTTTGCTATCATGAATTTGCATGCAATGATCTTGTATATGAAATCCTTTACTATAGTAAGTACTATAGCAATTAGACATTATCATACAATATTTTTGCATTACCTTTTGTAATTTCATGGCTCATCAAAAGGTAAAAATCATAGAGCAATGCAATGTTTCTCCCCCACCAAGCACCGTTCCCTCAACTTCTCTTCCTCTAACCTTCTTTGACATTCCTTGGGTTACCTGTGGCCCAGTGCAAAGCATTTTCTTCTATGACTTTCCCTTCTCTTGTCACCACTTCTTGCAAACGGTGCTTCCCACTCTCAAATACTCTCTTTCCCTAACCCTAAAACACTTTTTCCCTTTTGCTGGAAATCTTGTGTTTCCTACTCGACCCCACTTCCCTCACATCCTCTACTCGGAAGGTGACTCACTCTCCTTCACCATTGCTGAGTCCAATGCAGTGTTTCCATGCCTCATAGGTGACACTGCAAGAGATGTTAGAGACTTGCACCCTTGTGTTCCTGTGTTGCCTACCCCTAGTGACAAAGAAGATGGCACATGGTTCTTCCCTCTTATGGCTATTCAACTCACCATTTTTCCCAACCAAGGGTTCAGCATTTGCATGAGTTTAAGACACGTTGTGGATGGAAGAGCATTTCATCATTTCATGAAATCGTGGGCTTATATTTGTAGGAGCACAACATGTGGTGGTGGTGACTTGGCATCGTCCCTTGAAGGCTCTCATGCTTTGCCGTTTCACAATAGGGACATCATTGAAGATCCCAAAGGGCTTAAAATCACACTTTTGGAGGAGTTATGGAATTTGCCTCGAGAAAACATGAAAAAACTCATAGATCGATCCATCACTAATGTTGTCATTAATAACAATGAAAAAGTTCGTGCTGTGTTCATCTTGAACCGTGACCATATAGAGAAACTAAAGAAATGGGTGTATAGTGAGTGCAAGAGAAATGGGTTTGACTTTGAGTCATTGCACGTATCAACCTTTGTGGTGACAAGTGCTTTGATGTGGGTTTGTAAGGTTCAATCAGAAGTGACCAATCCTATACCTAATAATGATGAAATATACAAATTGGCATTTCTAGCCGATTGTCGTAACCGTCTTGAGTTTTCAATCCCTTCTACTTATTTTGGAAATTGTGTTGTTGGTCACATGGCATCACTCAAGAGGAGCAAGTTGGTGGGAGGAAATGGGATTGTTGAGGCAGCTATTGCTATTGGAAGGGAAGTTAGGGAATTTCAGTTTGATGCTTTGAAAGGGGTTGAAAGGTGTATGGTTGATGCTAAAGAAATAGGACAATTGGGACAACATGTGGCAATTACAGGGTCACCAAAGCTGGGCGCATATGCCATTGATTTTGGATTGGGAAAGCCTAAAAAGTGTGAAATACTTCATATAGAACACTCAGGATCTATTTCTCTTTCAGATTGCAGGGATGATGAAGGTGGAGTGGAAGTTGGACTAGTACTTGGAAGGGTTCAAATGGCTGATTTTTCTACTATCTTGAAAGATTATCTTGAAAATGTTGCTAGTAGTGACTAGGAAGTTCCATTTATATTTATAAAACGATTTCCACATGGATTTTTATCTAATGATTATCTAGTGATTGCTTTCATTTAAAAAAGAATAAGATGCAAGTATGTTTTTATCTCATATTTTTTTTATTCGTATTGTCCAATTATACCGTGTAATGTATCATTATTTATAAATAAAGGTTATGTTTCCAATATATTGTGCATTGTCCAATAAGATGCTAGTAAGTATCACTAGTGCAAAAATTGGATTTAAAATCGGAGTTTTAAGATCGGTTACAAGATAAACGATCTTAAAAGTGACGCGGTGACAAATTTGTAAATAATATGAACATTTTTAAGATCGGTTCAAATTTAACTAATCTTAAAAGTACTTTTAAGATCAGTTATTTCATGACCGATCTTAAAAGGTATGTCTAACACAACTTTTAAGATCGGTTACAAAAGAACCGATCTTAAAAGTTGTATCAGCCATAACTTTTAAGATCGGTTATAAAATAACCGATCTTAAAAATACTTTTAAGATCGGTTATTTTATAACCGATTTTAAAAGTACTACTTTTAAAATCAGTTATTTCAGAATCGATTTTAAAAGTAGCACTTTCAAAATCGGTTATTTCAGAACCAATTTTGTACGTAGTATACAAAATCGGTTCTTAAATAACCGATTTTAAAAGTAACGTCAAAAACCTTTTATATTTCCCTCCAATCTTATTCTCTTTAATCTTTCCCTCCACTCATTTTTTTACTCTCTCACGCTCTCATTTTCTAAAGAGGTAAATTTCGTTTTCGTTTTCCTCTTCTTGTGTCTCTTTTCATTTTCTCATGCGCTTCTCTTGTCTCTACTTTCGTTGTAGGTTTATTTTGGCTAAATTTCGAAGCTGGAACGACTAGTTCTGAAAGGAGAACGACCCGTTCTGCATGGAGAACGGGCTGTTCTCCTTTCAGTACGGGCCTTTCTGCATGGAGAACGACCCATTCTCCAAGCAGAACGTCCCGTACTGAAAGGAGAACGAGCCGTTCTAATTCCGTTCTTCAAATAATATTTTTTCACAATCTGGAACGACCCGTTCTAGTTTTGGAACGGACCGTTACAATTTAATTTTTTTTCTTGGCCAGAACTTTTAAGATCGATTATAAGACAACCAATCTTAAAAGTTAACTTTTAAAATCGGTTATTTAACCGGTTTTAAAAGTGTAACTTTTAAGATCGACTCTTTTAAAATCGGTTACGGAACCGATTTTAAAAGTTACAAATAACCGATTATAAAAGCCTTTTTTCCACTAGTGTATGTTCTCACATGAATTTACTGTGTATTAAGCCTTTTAAGATGTGAATAAGTATATTTTCATTAAATATTTTTTTTGATGTTCTTATTTAATTTTTGTAATTGATGTATATTTCTCCATTGTTTAGTTTATTTTTAAGAGATTTTTCTTTAAGATTAGATGTAACGTCTAGTCGTATTATTATTAATCACGGTAATATACGTATATATATATATGATATTTCTAGCTAGAAAACACATGTATAGTAATAATATTATATATCATACCGTACCATAAATATTTACCACTACGTGCATAATTGCTTACTTGTACATATATATTACATATTTTTGGAGCATTTACAATACATGCCTATTTACATAATCTAGTTTCTTTGTCTATTTCTAATATAATATTTACATGGGTGGTTGAAACAAATTCACAATTGGGTTCACATGGTTAGCGGGCGGTAAAAAGAAAGTGACTATTATGGGGCCGTCGATCACGGTAGGGACTTCTTGGTTTGGAGAGAAGGTAAAAATCGACACTGCTACTTCATTAAATGTGACTGCGTTTGCTACCGCATCAACACTCCACATAGTCCCAGAAAATACTGCAGAAATTACTGAAGGAAAAGGAGCTGGGATCGCTGGAACATCCATCTCTATTTATTTAATTATTTTTATGATTATATTACACAAGAAACACATAAGGAGTGAGAACATTTTTCAAAGAAATATTTATAATCATAGAGCATGCGTAACAATAGTTAATATTAAATAATATATATCAAAATTTGAATTACACTTGCAGTGACTAGTCAGGATAAATGAACATTATAATATCAACCAGCGAAATAACTTCTTACTCATTTAGATCTCCAAGGTCAAATCTCCAGCTATAAATAATTCAAATTTTATCTTCTATGGCCATAGAGTAATATTTATCTTTAAAACGAGTCAAAGACATTTTAACAAAATTATATTATAATCAATCATAAAAACAAGCACGCTAAATAAATTTGAGAATTTATCATTATTTAATCTTTAATTAAATAACATATACGTAAATAAAATATATTAAGAGCACGAATTAATTAACTGACAATGATAATTATTATAAAATAATTAAATAATATAAAATATGAACATATTAATAATTATTATGGATAAAAATAATCATAGAATAAGTAAATAAATGAGGTTAGGGACACCTCACTAGATAAAAATAACATAAATAAATAAACATAGAAGTATATAAAATTAAAGAGATAAAGTTCTCCTCCCCCTTACCTTGAAATGCCCACTTATCATGTGCTGTACATTCCCTTTTTTCTAATTATAAAAATTTATGCTGTATTTTCCCTTACCTTAAAGTTGTTTATCTTTCTTTCTTTTTATCTTTCTCTTTCTTTCTCACTTTTTCTCTTTCACTCTTCGTGGCTGTCACAAGGTTACAATGTTTTTTCCCAATTTCTGTTGAAGTTCGCTATTTATAGGGGTGATTTTTACTTCAATTACGTAAGGGAGTGCGTAATTTCCTTATCTACTATGGTACGGGGGAATATTTACCTGAAGATAAATCTTCCAGCATTTATTAAATTGTTATCGATTGATGCAGAAATAATATTTGATAACGTGTACAGGTGTCTATAACATCATGCAAATTTATAATAAGTTATTTTTCGTAGGTAATATTTATAATATAATTAGATAGCACACATACATATATATACATATATATATATATATATATATTATTATTATTATTATTATTTTATATATAATATAATATTATAAATTCAGAATATTCTCTTTTATATATATATATATATATATATATCTATATATATTATCATAACTAAAAATTTCAATACACTTAATAATAATGTTGAGAATATTGTTATCTAAAAACATTAGGATATTACAATTCTCTCCTACTTACAGAAATTTCATCCTCGAAATTTTTATTGCTTAAAAATAAATAAGGATAGTTTTTCCTGATTTTTTCTTCTAATTCCCACGTAGCATCTCCATTAACATCATTCCAGATGACCTTTACCAGTAAAATCTGTTTGCCTCTCAACTGCTTGATCCTCCTGTCTGTGATAATGTAAGATTATCCTTTAACTGTACTGTATCAGATATTATTACATGAGATGGATCATAAATATATTTTCTTAATTGAGACACATGAAAAACATTGTGAAGATTAGAAAGAAAAGGAGGTAGAGAAATTTGGTAAGCAACAGGACCTATTTTTCTGAGGATTTGATAAGGACCAATAAATCGATGTGTGAGTTTCTTTGATTTCATTACCCTACCAATACCAGTTGTTGGTGTAACTTTCAAAAATACATGATCACCTTCCTGAAATTCAAGAGGTCGTCTTCTTTTATCAGCATAACTTTTCTGTCTGCTTTGAGTCATTCTCAATTTTTCTTGAATCATTTTGATCTTTTCCGTGGTTTGTTGCACCAATTCAGGACCCAAGATTAAATTCTCTCCTGTCTCAAACCAACACAAAGGAGTTCTACACCTTCTTCCATATAAAGCTTCATAGGGTGCCATACCTATGCTAGAATGGAAACTGTTGTTATAAGTGAATTCAATCAGAGGCAAGTATTTGTCCCAACTACCAGAATTCTCTAGCACACAAGCTCTCAATAAATCTTCTAGGGATTGTATGGTTCTTTCTGATTGTCCATCTGTTTGAGGATGATATGCAGAGCTAAGACGAAGCTTAGTTCCTAATGCTTGATGTAAACTTCCCCAAAATCTAGAAGTGAATCTAGGATCCCTATCAGATATTATGCTAGATGGTACCCCATGCAACCTTACAATCTCTCTTATATACAGTTCAGTCAATTTTTCTAGAGAATACCTAATGTTGATGGGTAAGAAATGAGCAGATTTTGTTAGTCTATCCACAATAACCCATATGGAATCAAACTTATGAATTGTTCGTGGTAAACCAACTACAAAATCCATTGCTATACTGTCCCATTTCCATTCAGGTATATCTAAGGGTTGTAACATTCCTGCTGGCTTTTGGTGTTCTATCTTAGCTTTTTGACAAATCAAACATGTAGCCACATATTGTGCTATTTCCTTTTTCATTTTGGGCCACCAAAACATTCTTTTGAGATCTTGATACATCTTTGTTGCCCCAGGGTGTATGCTCAACTTGCTCTTATGTGCCTCACCTAAAATTATTTTCTTAATTTCTGAATCATTTGGTACACATATCCTATTATTAAATCTCAAAACTCCTCTTTGATCTAAATCGAACTTTTCACCATCCTTTTGACCTATCAACCTCTTTTTCTTCTGAATGAATTTATCAACTACCTGAGCCTCACCAATTTGTTCATGTAAGTCACTAGTAATTTGAACCGCATGCAATTGTATTTTATCTTGACTTACCGTAGTTGATAAACTCATGTCTCTAAATTTTTCTATCAAATTCATCTCTTGAATCATTAATGAGGAGACATGTAAGGATTTTCTACTCAGTGCATCAGCCACAACATTGGCTTTCCCTGGATGGTAATGTAATTCAAAATCATAATCTTTCAAAAATTCCATCCACCTTCTTTGTCTCATATTCAGTTCCTTTTGATCAAACAAATATTTCAAACTCTTATGATCACTAAAAACATCAAACTTACCACCATACACATAATGTCTCCATATTTTGAGTGCAAAAACAATGGCAGCTAGTTCTAGATCATGGGTTGGGTAATTCCTTTCATGAGCTCTCAATTGTCTAGAAGCATATGCTACTACCCTTCTATCT